AGTCGAACAATGACGGCTTGTCCCGGGAAATCGATAATATGAATGAGTTACAATGCATGCCGGGAAGGGCTTCCAACCTCCTCTGGGTCGGGGGAGTGAGTATATGGTGACAATTAATTAGATCGCTCTATGAATATAAACAATAACCATTGAATCTTCAAAGAAATCGTGATTATTCGTGAAAAGAACTGCAATTAAAAATTAATATTTATCGTGATGTGACTTTCTACTCTACAATCTAGTGTCGAGTTACAATTCAAGCAAATTGGATCCGATTTCAACTTATAGACTTGACGGCGTGGCAATATAATAAAGCAGTACAAGAATATATATATATATCTAGACCGAACAATGTGGTTATTCATTTATTTAATTGTTATGAAAGTATATCTAGATACTCGAACCAAAAGAATTTATTTATTGATGAGATGTGGCATGGAATTGCAACGAAATAGCGAGATCTTTTGATTTCCGAAATATCGCCAAGACGCCAACTGTATCCAGATTGTTGACTATAAAAGCTTATAAAACTTCCTGCATTGGCCCTTGGCATTGCTGAAACTCAACAATCATGGTATATGTTAAAGTCTAGCTGTCTGTTGAAAATCTACAGTATTAAAATCATACATCAAAGATAAGTCAAACGACAATATACTATATTATGTCTTTCAATGGGCACTTTATATTAGTAATAGTGTTTACAACATTTATAAATTTTATAAACAGCTTTCGTTTTGACACAACTCACACAAGTTTAAATTTTTTGCTTTATATATATTCTTAATAATACAAGTGAGATTTAAATATTTTTCTTTGTGGAATAGAATCCCGTTATTTTTTAATGGACAGCTTGTATCGTCTTTATCATATCCAGGATTGCTTGTAAATGCATATATCACTATGACACTATCAAATAAATATACAAATATATTTGAGAGCCTTGTTTTTTAGAGCATATTAATGACTAATGAACTAGAAATAAACAGATGATTCACAATGAAAACTTTAAAAATGTTAGTAGAAGTAGAAAACTCGAAAATTTATGTTTATTCGTATGACAGTCTGCGCGTCTGACACTGTAAATTCACAATATATAGATTTAGTATATTAGGAAAATATTATGATTAATAAAGACCAAGTAAAAGGCTAAAGCCTGACTATAATCACCGAATACTATGTACTAAATCCAAAATTTTATAATCACTGACAGACTTTCTCTGTTTGGCTAGTATCAAATGTTTACATTTGCTAATATTGGGCTCTAGTCCCAGACAATACAATACTGATTACTGTTTCTTTCAATCTTATAAACAAGACGCGTAGACGTATAGTAACAAGTAATTAAATCGGTGCAAAGCATATAAACATTTACAAGAAAGGACAAATCTAATGGCGTATTTTAAAAACATTACATATGTAGAAATGATGACTGAAAGCTCATAATAAACGTTTGTTATAAAACCGCGCTCGAGTGTGAAGAGACGGCATTGAATAACAACACGAGAGAGCACTGTGAGTAACGATTTGCTTGGTTTCTTGACTTGACTGTTGGTAAAAATGTAAGAATGTTCTTGTAAATTCAAAGCAAAGAAAATAAACAAAAATTAGCAAGTATTTTGAACTTAATAATGTTTTTAACTGCATGACTCCACTGGAATTCAAAGCAAAGAAAATAAACAAAAATTAGCAAGTATTTTGAACTTAATAATGTTTTTAACTGCATGACTCCACTGGAATCATGTAATTTGATACTTTTCCCACACCCCCTCGCGCTAAATTTTGGTCGAGGCACGTGACCAGCCCATACCAGGGTATTTCCTAAATACCCTGGGAACGAGGTTGCTATACAATTACAGATCGAAGCATACGCCTACGCTACGCCTACACTGTAAATTTACGGTTAACAAATTACAGTGACAAACAGATAAGTGGAAGTGATAGTTCCGCCTATATATACTCTGATAAAAATTGTTCTATTTCACTACGGTTAATGAACGTAAAGCACTCTACGGACTGAAGAAAGATAAGACAAGTATTGTGATGAAAGCCGACAAAGGCAACTGTTTTGTGGTCATGGATAAAACAGACTATGACGAGAAGATGCAAGAGTTGCTCAGTGACCAAAACACCTACGAAAAAGTCGCAAAACCTCCTTTCAAAAAGATCGAACGCGAGTTAAATTTACAATTACTACAATTAAAACAACAATTAACATAAGCTTGATGAACGCACCTACAAAAAACTACACTCAACTAATGGCATTCCACCAGCCATCCGGGGTTCTGTCAAACATCACAAGCCCAACAATCCACTTCGCCCTATAGTAACATGTAGAAACACAGCACTATATAACACATCTAAATATCTAGCAGATATTTTGGCACCTTTACAAAACAACAACGGCTATTCTGTTACCAACTCGACTGACTTTTCACATAGGCTATCCAACATCAACATTAAAGACGATGAAATTATGATTTCCGTTGACGTTGTTTCTCTGTTTACTGCTATCCCTGTCGAAAAAACATGCGAACACATTCGCAACAAACTACTCAAAGATACTACCTTACAACAACGAACAAACCTAACTATTGACGACATTATTAAGCTTATTAACCAGGAAACTGATAGGTTACCGTGTTTAAATAAATTTAAATAATAATAACTGTCTAACAGCTTTTTTAACTACAACAGGCAGACCTACAAACAAATCCATGGTTGTGCTATGGGCAGTCCTGTAAGCCCATTGTGGCAAACCTCTGTTTAGAGGTTATTGAAGAACTCGCTCTGTCTCAAGCAATTATACCACCTAAGAAATGGTTTCGGTATGTTGATGATGTTTTCTCGATCATTAAAAAACATGCATTAGATTCCTTTCATAATTTACTGAACTCCATTGACCCAGACATAAATTTTACTACAGAACATGAACAAGACGGACGATTTTCATTCTTAGACATTTTAGTTTCTCGAAACAACGGGACGCTCATCACTAATGTCTACCGTAAGCCTACGCACACTGACAAGTACTTAGATTTTAATTCACATCACGATAAACAACATAAAATTAGCACAGCACAAACCCTCTTACACCGGGCAGCAACACTTCCTAACTCAATCGAAGGCAAACAACAAGAACGTGAGCATGTAATTAAAACGTTGACGGCTAATGGATATCCACAGAAGTTCCTGACAGAAGTGGAAAAGAAACGAGCTTTGAGACAACAAAAAACACCTTCACCTGAAGAACTTGTTCGAGAGTTTTTTGAAAGAGTTGATCCCAGCACGAAAGTTGGTTACGCGGTTTTGCCATACATCAAAGGCCTAACAGAACCTCTCAAACGCCTCCTCAAGCCTTATAACATCCAAACAACTTAACAACAACGAAACCTATACACACACTTGAACAAATGCTCCCTTCACCGAAAGACAGACCACCATCCGAAGAACAAACAAATGTGATCTATCGAATAAATTGCGCCGATTGTTCGTGGAGCTATATCGGTGAGACGGGTCGAGCGTTTATGACACGGAAAAAAGAACATGTGAAGAATGTCGAGAAACAAAAAGCGGGTTCAAATATTGCGAATCATACCTGGTCTTATGACCATAAAATTGATTTTGACAATGGCAAGATAATCGACAAGGCAAACTACCGCCACAGAGCTACATTGGAATCTTGGCACACCGCGCTCACAGCTAACGCAGACATTTACCGGAACAATACCGTTTTTTATTAAAGAAATAGAACAATTTTTATCAGAGTATATATAGGCGGAACTATCACTTCCACTTATCTGTTTGTCACTGTAATTTGTTAACCGTAAATTTACAGTGTAGGCGTAGCGTAGGCGTATGCTTCGATCTGTAATTGTAAACCGTATAGTCGTCTGTAATCACTGTATTTTATAACTACCCGTTGAAGGCTGCAGTCTGGCAACCGAAAGCTCGTGAATAAAAAATTTTCAACCAGAGAACGTCTCAAAAATCATTATGTTCAATCCTGGTCGCACTTCCAGCATATTTAAAAGCAAATTTTGTAAAAGTTTATAATAATTTTGTATTAAAATGGTTTACTTTTGCGCTGTATGTGGTTGTTGAACCCGAACAGATATGGTTAAGGAGCATCTGGAGGACACTCTAAGGATTTGTGACGTCAGTGTAATGGGTCTATAAAGTGACAAACGCAACTGATCTCAAATGTACTTGGCAACTGGAATTTTATCGGATTTTCATTATAACCATGAACTATCAAATAAAAAAATAAACACGTTATTTACCGTTTTGGTCGATCCGTGCTAAAAAATATTTTCCCTCGGCCTTCGGCCGTTTCTGAGACCTCGGGAAAATATTTTTTCAGTACGGACCTCGCAGCCGGTAAATAACATATATATACTGTTTTCCAAAACAAATCAATTTTATTCCGACTACCCGTAGGGTACAACAAAGTCTTAAAAGGGTCACTTTTTCTATTCGGAGGCCAGAAACTGACATTTCTATAGACACCAGCACGTAACGCAATTTTCAGCAATGCTTCCCTGTGCAGATGTGATCTACAGGAATGAAGAATATTCTTACCGTTGTAAGTGTAAGGAATTGTGAATAACTCTTTTTCTGGAACCATCGTTTCTTCCTGTCTTTTCCAAATATATACAATCACATACGCTAAAAGGCCAATCCACAACATCGCAGCAATAATGAGCACATGATAATGATGTATACCGATGACGTGACCACAAGACGAGCGGATTGTGGAAGACTCGCACGCCCAATGTACCGATGACAGAAATATGCAAACTGGAGTGACAAGTAATAAAGGTAAGGCAAATGCTTGACGTTGTATACCAACCATACAAGATAGGGAACCCAAGAGATATACTCCGAAACTACAAAGAATATTAACCCATATATAGCTAGAATATATTCCAAGACCGTTAGTAATTTGGTTAGCATGAACATCATCTAGACTGACGACGTTGTAGAAATGACAGAAAAATACGCAAACAAATGGCGTTGTGATGAACTTAATAGCACTGTTCATAACTCCAGATTTTCTTGTAGCTCCACAGTAAAACGAAGAAGATAAAACATCAAATTCTGTCAGACGGTCTGTGCTAGATATCATATCTCCATCACTATTCGACAAGGGATTGTAATCTCGAGATTCTGTTTGCGCTTCAACACGAGAACGAAGCTGCAATTTTCTCAGTGGTGAAAGCCAAGCCCAGTTGAGCAACACCAAGGACGCAGGTAGCGCTGTTCTTTCTTTAATATCAGTAAACTACAACAAAAATAAACCATTGAATTTTTACAATCATGGTGAGTAATGATCCAACGTAAAACGTCGAATGATCAGATCTGCAAAGATTTATAATCACAAGTTTGATTTCAAACCAAAATAGACTGAGTGTACTGTATATTGCACTCTTTCCCAAATGGCCTCGTTTCCCTGTGGTTATTTCCTCATCTTTCTTGCACAGAAGGGTAGGGTTTATATGCAAACGAGGCCATTGGGCCAAAAGTGCAATAAACACTAAATAAAATTGTACAAGTTCAATTTCCACTTTATTGAAATGAACGGACAATTTAGTAAAACGGAACATAATAATTAATAATAATTTAATTTGTAGTGCGCTAGTTCCATTCAAATATGCTCACATGCGCATAACAATAATATAAAAATAGGTACGCGACCGCGTACATGTATCTGCGCATTAAAGGTCCAGACACGCCGGACGCGATTCGACAACGCGACGCGATTTTTCGATTTTCACTGACCGATAACTTTGATCCAAGTTTAAATTTTCCAAATATTTAGAAGCGCTATAACATTCTAAGTTACTTGGTGTATATGTTTCTAACTGATTTGCTCCGCATTGGCTGTTTTTCAAACTAACTGAAAAATCGCGTCGCGTTGTCGAATCGCGTCCGGTGTGTCTGGATCTTAAGGTCTGATTCCACGACGGCGAAATTCGTCGCGAGAACTTGTGTCTGCGAAATACGGTGGTTGCACATGAGCGATTGTATTGAATTGTCCCACTTTGTCCGCTTTCGCAGTAAGTAGAAATGTTTCGCATTTCGCCGAGAAAAAACGCTCGTGGAATCAGGCCTTTACTGCATTGATGTTGCATTCTCGGAATTACATTTTTACAGCAATTGTGCGAAATTGTGCTAGTTGAAATTATATGCCTGCTTCAGATATAATATTTACATTTAAACAGTGACTTCTAAATTAAGAGGACGAGAACCATTTATATCCCGAATCACGGCAACTGATAACAATCATACAAAAATTTTCTTTTTATCTGGAGCTAAATATCTGCTATTCATACAGTTCATTACTTTTAAGAACAATTTAAAGAAAATAATTAATTAAGGCTGTAAAATGTGTGGATTCAAAGACGTGGAATTAGACGTCTGTACATGGAGTCATGAGCTAATAATAGTTTCTGACATTTAAAACAACAGGGCTACGTTTATCCTATACTTTGTTTTCATAGTTTAGCCAAGTTTCAGAGGCCTCCATTAAATAACAGTCAAGATATACACGCAAATATAGTTTGCTTGTCTATCTAAAATTTGTAATTGTTTCGTGAAGATTCAACCATAAAACAATTGCCGGAAATGGAAGCCCCGATTATAAAAACTCAGGGAAAACCCGTGCGGTATGAAATGCGTGACCTGTGCGTAAACATGTCAATCAAATATCTATAAATATGACGTTTTATATTTGCACAGTACATCGTGTACGTTCTTGTTGTAGAACTTGTGTTGCTCCAAATCGAGTATGAAGTAAAATCAGGAGCATACTGTCACAGGCTATTTTTGTATTTTAATACCTCTGGAAATATCAAGGCTTTGGTACGCCTATCTATCACAAAAAGTAACAAATCCAAAACGAAGTATGAGGACTAATATTTTTATATATATCATTTCACAGATTAAAAGTATTATTCAAGAAATATGTCCATTTTGATCTTAACGTGATACAAAAATACTAAATAACATGCAAAATTTAGTGCCAAAGAGGGATTTATTTTGCGGTAGTTAAATATGTAAACATATATGTTCTCAAACTGGCAGAGTTTAATACCAATTAAAGCTCGCAATGCTATATATTTGGTTTGATACGAAGATAAAATAGTAAATACTCATAATAATAATTACAATATGTCCATGACCTTACTCAAAAATTTAGATTATTAAATCACATAATGGAACAACTTGCAATTTGCTCACTCGTTAGCAATAGTTCTCTTCAACACTCGAAATAAATTACATATTTCCGCACAACCATGTATAAATATCCTCTATACATTCCAGTTTACCTTTAATTTGTCAAGTGGTAGGCAAAATATTAGTCCTTTTGATTTGTTATTCTCTTGACCCAACACGGGAGTGATAGGAACTTGAAAAATGACAGTTGCATACTTGCGCGTAATTTGCTCGGAGCAATTTGCAATCAACATTGCAAGATTGATTGCAATGTTGCAATACTCATGGGAACAGAACTTCCGGTTTGACTGTAAGAGTTATATCAGTCCAAGACTGCTATAGAAGAAGATTTTATCAAAATAAAGTCAAAATAAAGTCTATTAATACCACGATTACTATAAATGATTAATACTACTCTTGAAAGCTTTTCGAAAGACGCCATCTTGTTTTAAAGCTGTTCTAGCCTGCGAACAGGTCTTCAAAACAAGGTTGACGGACTTAACGAGTTAACAACTTAACTTACTTAACTTTACTTTACTTTACTGATATATGACTGACGCGATAGCAATATATCTGCGCTACGCGCAGATACAAAAACAAATCTAAATATTTACATGAAAGATAAAAGATAGTTAAGACAACCCAGACGATTTATTCATATCAGTACAGACTATATATACTATTAGTTTCATAAGAGATATATAAAAGTATTATTGATTACACTATTTTGTTATTAAATATTATAATAAGCTTTCCTAAATAAGTGTGTCTTTAAAGTGTATATGACATGAAATTTCTTATTTTCTTAAATGAAAGAACTTTTTAAGTTGTAGTGTAACTTATTTTTCATTTTGTTGTTTTTATGGTTTGTTCCTGAGATATTTCAATTTGTTTGATATGTAAATGAATGTGAATATGTCCGCTAATTTGTGACGTCATGTTGGTTGCAAGCTCAAATTACACTGGTTATAAATGTATTAACTCTAAAAACTGTTGATATCAGTTCACGTTTTTTTCCAGTGTTTCATCACATTTGCCAGTGAGCGAAGTTTGAAATTATCATCTTGGATGCTAGCAGTGATATTCAACCATTTTAAAGGCCCATTTACACGATACGAGTAGTTGTATACGATTGTCATTCTGACGAATGAAAACGAGTGCTAATGCCACGTTATTGCTCATTCGCTAATGGCGAAATTTGAAATGTGACGTTTGCACGCGTGTTTATTGGATCACATACGCCAGAGTAAGAATCGTATACAACTAATCGCATCGTGTAAATGGGCCTTAAAGAGCTTGCGGAAAACAGGTGGGAAATTTGTCTGAGCATGCGCGAGTAAAATGAGCCACGCAATTGCGTGGAATACACGCAACGCGTGTTTACAAAAAGGCACAATCGTGTAAATATTGCCAAATGTTTGTACAAAATAAATGACTGTTTTATGTTGAAAGAGTAGACATGATCTAAATTAATCATACAGAATTTTTTAGTGACGTTCTATTTCAGTACCCTGCCATTGTCTCTGGTGGGCTGTCCGTGTGCATTCGATCTGAAACAGTTGCTACTTTGCTGTCGAAGAATTTCGAATGTTTACATGAAAATAGAGGCAAGTCATGCATTATACAACCTCTCAAACTGTATGAGCCCCTATTTTTACGCTTATACCTAAGATATCAAATAAAAGTACATGAAACAGAGAACATTTGTAGAAAGTTTTATCGTGAGGCCACGGCCAGTTTTTAAAATATTTTTATTTCTGTTCCGGTCATCACCAAAATTACACAAAAGCCGGGCTTGAATATACAACAAATTTTGAATCTCATCAAGCACAAAAATACTTAACGTGTAACCAAAATATGCTCATGAAATCGAAATTAATAGCTAAATTTTCAAACTAGACACTTCTCGAAGCGGTTTTCATGAAGGGAGTTCACATTTCGGCCTTTGATTCTTGAACTGGATCTCAAAGACTGAACTAAAACATTGTGAGCCCCTATTTTCCTGACGATATGTTTGATACCTACAAATGCCGAAAAGTTTTTTCTTTTCATTTAGCTATATTTGAAATTGAAGCCACGGGCTATTTTTGAGAAACTACAGTTCAAAGTCAAGCTATTTTTACATATTTTCAAAATTTGTCAAATTTCGCGAGCTTGTATTTTGAACTTAGACAGCTGAAGTTACATTAAGAAACATAGGATGAAAAATTTGAGGCATATAAAGTTAATTTCAACTTACATTTCATTCTCAAATCACGTCTTTCTTCGTTTATTACGGTTTTAAACAAGTCATAGATCGACGTATACGGTATTTACTCCCATGTTCACGTCGCCATATTAACTTCTTCCAATCACTCGATTACAAAACAATCATCCCAAAACAAAGAATTCATGATCGACTTTTAAAAGAATAACCAATAATTTTCAAATCGTTGAATGGAAAGCAAAAAATCGTCAGCTAAAACAGCTTCTTGCTAACTTTCTGCTTTGTTTTGAATGTAAATGCAATGAGCTTTGTTTCTGCCCGCAATTTTTTGGTCAGCGACGACAAATTTCCCACCTGTTCTGTAAATGTATTCTTCTTTTCCTCGGGAATATGTTTAAATTCCTAGAGATCCGCCAAGCATCATCTCTTATTGATCCAGTGTTACTATAGGAGGAAACCTAAACTAAACTAACTTTATTTCTGACGCAGCGAGCGAGCCTGAATCGAGCGAACAAGTCAGCAGTTGTAATTCGTATTGGGCTCTGAAAGTAAGATTTTACTTCCGTTTCTCCGACCAGAATGCACTGCTGTTAACCGACCAGAATGCTTTGCATGCATGATGCTATAAATACGGGGAATCTCATCAAATCTCATTAGTCAGTTTATATAAGCCGGTAACGATGCAGTTGTTTTGATGTATTTGTATTCACTGTATTTTCTGTTGATTTCTGGCTGGTTGCACATATATATATATATATATATATATATATATATATATATATATATATATATATATATATATATATATATATATATATATATATATATATATAAAATA